TTCCCCGCCCAAGGGCTGCCTTTCCCAGCCCTCATCCTGGCTCCGGCTTTGTCTGCGCTTCACGTGGCTGTTCGCTCCTCGTTCCTGGGGCAGCTGCGTGGGGGACCCCCCCCAGAGCCCCTTGTTTCCCCCCAGCCCCTATTCCAGGGTGGGCTCTTTGCCTGGCAGAGGTGTGGTGGGGGGGGATCCCCTCCTCGGGGTCCCTTTCGCAGCTGGCTCTGCTCCCCCCCCACCGTGGTTTGGCAGGGTTTCCCCACCAGCGCTCAGCTGTGAGCCCCCATGTCCTCCCCTAACCCCTGTCTCCCCCCGGCGGAGCGGGGGCCTCTCTGAGCTGGGGGGAAGGGGGGGGTGTCAGGGCTGAAGTGTGTGTGTGGGGGGGGCTGGGCAGTGTTTCTGACAACCCTGTGGGCTGCAGGACCTGCTTCCCACTCCCCGCATCCCCATCCCGGCTTCCTCCAGCTCCCACCCACCTCCCCGCCACGCCGCTGGCTCCAAAAGTCCTGTTCTCCCTCCCTCCATCCCTCCCTCCCAGAAGTTGAGCGCTGGAGGAGTGGCTCCGCAGCTGCGGGCGGCTGGGTGTCCCCCGGCTGGGGTCCCCTCTCCGTCCCCACCGCGTGTGGCCCCGTGTTCCCCCCCGGTGCAGGGTTGGCGCTCAGGGGTTCTGGGGGAAGGAGCGGGGTGAGGACAGAAGGGGTGTCCCCAGCACCTGAGGGTTTCCCCCACCATGCCACCCCACGGAGGGTTGTTTGTGGGTGTCTGGCTGCTCTTGGCCCCCGGTCTCGCCGAGCTGCCCCCCGGCACAGGGGGGGCCACCCTAGCCTTCGTCTTCGATGTCACCGGCTCCATGTACGACGACCTGGTGCAGGTGATGGACGGGGCCTCGCGCATCCTGGAGCGGACGCTCAGCAGGAGCACAAAGCCCATCAGCAACTACGCGCTGGTCCCCTTCCACGACCCAGGTAGGGCTGGGACAGGGTGAGGGCACGCGTGCCGCCGGGGAACGGGGCTGCGGGGAGCTGGGGTGCAGTCCTGGCTGGGTTTGGGGCCGAAGAGTGCACTTCTCAAGTGCCTGCGCTGTCCCTCCTCCCCGTTTTTAATGTTTCTCCCCGTTTTTAATGCTCGCCGCGATGGGGATGGCAGCGTGGGATGAGCCACAGCTCCGGAGCAGGGTGCTGGCCAGGGGCTCCCCTCCCCACGCCGCCCTGCGGGCACAGGACAAGCCATTTCCCACTGGGTTAATCCCAGCGATGCTGGCACACACTTGTGGGTGGCTTTTCTGCTTCCAGCCTGTTCCGATCTCCCTGGGCTAATCACGGGGGGGCATTTCTGTACCAGTCCACAGTGTGCTTTCAGGTTGCCTCGATAAAAGCACCACTCACTAAGAGGTTTTGGTAATGCACGGCAATAGCGGGATCATTTCTTTCTGTCCCGGTCTTTGCCTTGGGATTTTTGTGCACACCCATAAATAGCAGCTGCTCTCCAAAAGAGCCCCAACCCCCTACAAGGAGAGCGGGGCTCGGGCTTTATTTTCAGCAGAAACACCGAGTCTGAATGAAAATCGCAGGAGCCAGACAGGGAAGGAGGCAGAGGCAGTAAATGGGTTTCTGCGTCGGTTTGCAGCTCACCCTGGGCGAGAGCGTTCCCTGGGCAGGAGGGTGTTCCCTTTGGGCCAGTCTGCCCAAATCCACATCTCCCTCGGTGCCAAGCCAGGGTAGATGTTTAACCCTGAGTCTTGTGGTTGCCGTAAGGGTGTTTGTTTAAACCGGGGCCGGTGCTTGGGAGCGCTGGCAGCGTGGCACTGGAAGATGCTGGTGCGGGTGGCCGGGGAGGCTGAGGCGGTGGTGCTGGTTGTGCTTGCAGAGGTGGGACCCGCCACCCTCACCGCGGACCCCCGGCTCTTCCAGCGGCGCCTGC